AATTATGGAAGCATTCCTGATAGATGGTAAGGCACTCTAGATGCTCCTCTTTGTATATAACATTGCGCTCATTACATACTGTAGATGAGATTCAGAATCACTTAAGAATTCCAGACTTGTTATCCATATATGAAAAACCAAGTGGATGAAGAATGTATATGTTGTTCAGAATTGGATGGATAAGCTAAAGAGATAATCCATCAGTACCTTTGACAGGTACTGTGAATAGACAGTGAACTGGGATCAGAAATGAATAAGGAAAGAGAGTGGACTGAATTACCTTTGGAAATTGAAGGTGATTTTAATGACCCCACACTTCTTCCTGAAACAGAAGCTCTCCTTTAATGATAGTACCATTCTGTTGATGCTGTGTGACCAGTTGTAAGTGGTGTAACATTAATCTCCAAAGGATTAAACCTGTGGGTCACCTAAGGGCAGTGTAGAGACACATGATGGGCACAAGTGGGCTGTGATATAAAGGCTGACATCAGAGAGATGGTTGGCTAGAAAGTAATTAAGATTGTGGAGCAAGAGTGAGGAATGAGTAATAGCCCATGTACTACATCCACACAGTGACAAGAGAAGAAGGCTCTAAGCACATTGGGTGGACCCCCTTTAGAGGAGTCTAGAGAACTCAAGAACCATACACAATACACAAGCCAGATGAGAAATTGGGGCTGGATTGTCAGATAGTTAGTAAACATTTATTAAGCATCTGTTATGTGTCCAGGCACTGTGCTAAGCACTGGGGATACAGAGTCCAGATAGTCCCTGCTGTCAAGGAACTTATAATCTAGTGGGGGAGACAGCAAGCAAACATGTACGAACAAGCTATATGCAGGATAAATTAGAAATAATTATTGGAGGTGTATGGGACAGTGACCACTAAAATCAAGAGTTTGGAGTCTGAATCAGAGATCAGAAAAGGTCTTTATTGTTTCTCATGAGAAAGGGCACAGCCCTCGTGGCTGCTCAAGCCGCAGCTGGCTGTGAGAAGCAAAGTTTTATAGTCCTAACTCATGCCCCCTCTCACTCTCTTACTTCTTTCCCCCATTGGCTGGGAACTCAAGGCGTACAATCTAAATGCGGCAACTAATAGCCAGTAGAAGCAAACATGCCCATATTTGGGAACTAGATGTGTTTGTGCGCCAGGAAGCGGGCGCGACCAGGAACTGCCTGTGCTGAGTGGATTTTTGAGAAAGGTGAGACTCAACTCAGGGCTTAGGCCTGAGGAAATTGCACTTTAGGCCATCTCTCACAGAGGGAAGACACTAGAATTAAAAGGGGTTGGGGAAGGCTTCCTTTAGAAGATGCGATTTTAGTTAGAACTTAAAGGAAACCAGTAGGCAGAGATGAGGAGGGAGAGCATTCCAGGCATGGGGGATAGCCAGTGAAAATGCCCAGAGCCGAGAGATGGAGTGTCTTTTTTGTAGAACAGCAAGAAAACAAGTGTCACTGGAATTGAGTTTATATATTATGATCTATGTTGTTCTAGGGAGAACCCCACCATGATATGATGATTACCAATCCACCAAAGTACTGAATGATGTCATCAGCGTTATTAACTGGGACTCTCAATCAGATTGGTTTTTCTGTTCTTGACTTTTAGAAAATAGAGGCAAACAATAAGCCTATATGACCTCTTTATTCAAAATGAAACACCAAAATCAAGGTCTCTATAAGATATGTCCTGAAGATCACAAACATTCAGTCCAGTTTCCTTCATCTGCATAATGTCCTACATGATAATTAATCAGAATGCTCACCTAGAGATCCTGCAGTTTCTTGAATCATCAAATGAAAGAGGGAATTGTATTCAGTAGTCTTGTACTAACCACAGCAGGAAAAACACTCTTTAGAAAATAGAGGGACAAAAATGAGTTTGCTAGACTGTAAGCTCCTTGTTCACAGGGTCAGCATGGAGCATAGTAGTATGATGAATGTTTGATTGTTTTTTACACCTCAAAGTTTTTTTCTTTAAATATTGTGATTATTGAAGGGTTATATTGTTTGCCAAAATACATTCTTCATCAATGCCCCTTCTTTGAATTTCTGTAGACAGTTTTCTTGTTTTTTTCTCCACTTCACAGATTATAGTTACTTAATCTTTACTGTGGGGGGAAAAAAGGCCAAGTGACTATTGTACATTTCTACTGAAATGAAATTTGACCATTACCTTTTTAGTTTCTTGTGTTAGAAATTGGGAGGTGAGGGGGAAAAACCAGTAAGCTATGCTACTTAGTTTGGGAGATCAGGAAAGGCGTTTTTGTAAAAGGAAGTTTCTGAAGAAAGCGAGGGATTCTACAAAGGGAAGAAGTGTGGGATGGGGAGAACCTGTGCCAAGACACATAGGTGAGAATTACAATGTCCTACACAGTAAACAGCTACCAGACCAGTCTGACTGGAATGGAGAGTTCTGGGGAGGGAAGTGATAGGATATAAAACTGGAAAGGTAGATAGACACAAGATTATAGAGGGCCTTAAATGCCAAATTGAAGAAGAGTAGGTCTGGATAGGATTGGGCAAAGCACACACCTATGGCCACATTAACAGCCCCTTGGCTACTCTCCAGTGTGCCAAAGGGCTAACCCCCCTCAACATACCACCTACTATTTTAGGCCTCAGCTCTCCTGACTAGCCTCTGCCAAATGTGCCAATCTGTTTGGTGTATTTTTTTATGGGACAATAATGGCTAAAGATGAGGGAGCTGTTGGGGCTTTTTCATTGGCAGCCAAAGCAATGAAAGTGAAATGTTACCCCAGGTAGAACATAGATATGTTATTGTACACCAAAATGCCATTTTCTTTGCAGCTGCATGTGAGCCACACCCAGCAGGCCTAGCAAAAACTTACATTTTCTTAGGCTACAGAGATCAAGGAATGTACAAATCAGAACTTACTTATCAACTAGAATTTATTTAATATCCTCATTTTATAGAGGAAGAAACTGATGCCTGGAGAAGGTGGTATGATTTCTACCTAGACTATTGACCTGTCCATTACATATGACAACCTAATTTTAATTTTTGTGGGATTGATTAGAGCCTTGTTGACAGCTGTCATAGAATCAGAGATTTAGAGCTGGAAAGGACCCAAAGACCTTATGTAGTTTACAGAGAAGAATCTGAAGCCAAAGTCACATAGGTAGTAACTTACCTGAGCTGGTATTTGAAATCATTTGAGTTGCATTTCCTGTTGCCCCATATCATTGGCTAAGTGTTCACAGCTTCCTTTTGCCAAATTCAGCTTAACGAAAACGGCTTCATGCTTGCTCTGCCATTTTGCAGACATAGTGGAGTTCTGGTTAATAATAATTCACATTTATAAATCACATTAAAATTGACAAAGTACTTTCCTTACAACTTTGTGAGGTAGTGCAAGAATTATTAGCTCCAGTTTTCAGTACCTTAGAAAACTTAGGCCCAGATGATAATAGTTGACATACACAAAGGTTTAAGCTTTACAGTGCACTTGACATACGTTATCTTATCCCATACAATTTAAACACTTAAACTGCTCTACAGTTATTTCTGGGCTGTTAATTTTGCTTCTCTTCCATGAAGTAGGAGGACAAATGTTATGCTACTTTTTAATTCTTACCTCCTGAACTGCTATGAGTTTCTCCACAACATTGTGAAGTATATATTACATGTATTATTAGCCCATTTTAAAACGAAGATTAGAGAGGTCAAGTGACTTGTCCAGTGTCACGCAGTTAGCATAAGAGCTAGGACTTGAACTCGGGTGCCAAAGACTAGTGCTCTTTCTACTATATTACTGTTGGCAACTATGACTGTTGGCAGTGTACTAAAAAAATCTGTCTCTTAGCAGAGAAGATGAAGTTAGAATTAGTCAATGAAAAAGTATTTGAGGACCTGCTTTGTGCCCAGCTCTCTACTAAGTATTCTAAGAGAATAGGAGTCCAGAAGTGGGCTCCCCCTTCTTGGAGGACAGGTAAAATTCACACACTGGAAACAATTGTAGAGCACTTAAGTATTCCTGAGCAGGTCAAAACATCACTGCTTGTAGATGTCATTGATTGTCTTTGAGAACAAAGGACAAACAACCACAACAAATTGTATGAAACAAGTTAAGTAAGTGCAGTTTAAAGAAAGATGAATAAATAGAATAATCAAAGAATGCTTTATGGAGGCAGTGAGACTTGCTCTGGGCTTTGAAGGAGAAATAACATTAATAATTGACATTTACGTTACTCTTTAAGGTTTGTGAAGCATTTTGGTACACTTTAGATTGGTGGAGAGGTAGGAAAAGGAATAAATCAAGAACGTTTGGGAGGACAGTAAAGAAATGAAGTCTGTTTAGGAGACTGAAGATGAGGTTGGATAAGGTGAGGCCAAACTAAGGGCCTTGAAATTCAGACAAAGTTTTGTCTTGATTCAGGCAGCAGTGGAGAACCATTTTAGATTCTTGAAGAGGGGAGTGACGTGTTAAAGCTAATGTTTTGGGAAGGTCTGTCTATCATATTAGTAAGATTAGTAAGTTAAGATGCTCATATAGATGAGCATAAGAAAGACTCATTACTAGGACTTAGAGAGGAAACCGGAAAAGGGGCTTCTTAATGAGTGTCATGTCTAATTTTAAATTTGCTAATTAATGACTTGAGTCTGGCACCATAGAGATATCCACTTGATAGGATAGAAGGAGAGCTAGCCACTCCACTCTGATATATTGGTTTTGTGATTGACGTAAGTCCCTTAACCTCTCATGTGATGTAAGCCAGAGATATCAAAAATGCAGGCCACAGATTAGAATGCAATTGGCAAATATTTAACAAAAATAAAAATACAATAGAATATAGATAATGTTAATATGTAGTTTTCTGAGTCAGTATGCGTCCAGCAGGGTTTAATGGCCCCTGTTTCTATTTGAGTTTGATACCACTGATCTAGGCAATTATCTTTAAGACCATGAGTTGTAAAATAGGTACCAACGTGCATCTGTCAAGGAAGTTCCTTACTTACCAGGAACCAGTGGAATCACAAGTACAGTCTATTCTGGGACGATAAGTAGGCTGAGTACATAGTAGGTAGCCAGCAAACACTCATCCTTTTCATGAATCTAGAAAATCAGGAAGACATAAAAGTTATGTGTTGGGGGAAGAAAATAGGCTCAATTTTTCCAGCTTTGTCTAATGTTAAAATTTATGGTTTTTAACATAATAAGAATTCCCCCAAAACCTATCTTAAAGTTCATTTCCTAAAAATAGTTCATTGATCATCAACAGAAAGGAGGGATGATATATCCTTAACCATGACATTGTGATACTAACATTGGTCCTTGTAGTTGACATGAGTTTTGTTGTTTTCTCCGTGTTAACTTTTTTTCAATCCCTAATGCCTAGCATATAGTATATGCTTAACAAAATCTTGTTTTTAAAAAATTATTTTATAATTGATATTTTTTTCTTTCCCTCTTACCCCCCCCAAAATTAAAAGGGAAAAAAAGATTGAAAAAACCCCTTATAACAAATATACATAGTTAAGCAAAACATTCCCACATCTGTGTCCAAAAATGTATGTCTTATTATGCATCTTGAATCTATCACCTATATGTTGGGAGGTGGGTAACATAGATTAGTCCTCTGCAACCATGTTTGGTTATTGCATTAATCAGAGTTTTAAAGCTGTTTGTTTTTATAATGTCATTGTTATTATATATATTCTTTTTTTGGGGGCGGGACAGTTGGGGTTAAGTGACTTGCCCAGAGTCACACAGTTCCTAAGTGTCAAGTATTTGAGGCTGGATTTGAACTCAGGTTCCCCTGACTCCAGAGCCGGTGCTCTATCTACTGCGCCACCTGGCTGCTCCTTGTTCTCTTGAACAATTGCTCACTTCTCTCTGAATCATTTCATACAAGTCTTCTCAACTTTCTCTAAACACATCCATTTCTTCATTTCGTCCAGTACATATTCCATTATGTTCACCTACCATTTGTTCAGCCATTCTTTAAGTGATGGCCACTTCTTTAGTTTCTAGTTCTTTGCCGTTACAAAAAGGGCTACTATGAACATTTTTATACCTATGTATCCTTTCCCTCATAAATATGTGTTGATTGATTCTGTATTATTCTCTTGACATTCAGACAAGTCTTTCCAGGTTTCTCTTGAATCCTCACATTCATTATCTGTAGTAAATTAATATTCAGTTTATATTCATATGCCACAGTTTGATCATTCTCCAGTCACTGGGAACATATTTTGTTTCCATCTTTCTGTTGTAATTAATGCTATGAACACTTTGTGTGTGTGTGTGTGTGTGTGTGTGTGTGTGTGTGTGTGTGTGTGTATTTTCCTGCTGTCATTAACCTCTTTGGGATGTCATCTCAGTATTAAAATCCCTGTATCAAAAGGTAGAACAATTTAGTAAAATTTTTTGCAGAATTACAAATTATTTTCCAGAACAATCAGACAACTCCCAGCAGTGAATTAGTTAATGTTCCTGTCTTCCTATAGCCTCCTCTAAAGTAGTTATTGATTATTTCCATTACTGTTATTAGGCATTTAAATTCTGTTCATGCTGTTAATATTTCTTGATCCTTTGACCATTCATTTAGAGGGGAAGGTCTCAAAATCTTATTTATATCAATTCCCTATAAATTTTGAACAAAAGGCTTTTCAAAGAAGTATCTAAGCAGAGGTTTTTTCCCCCACCAATCTGTATCTTTTCTTTTCTTTCTTTCTTTCTTTTTTTTTGGCTAGGCAGTGGGGTTAAATGACTTGCCCAGGGTCACACAGCTAGTAAGTGTCATATGGCTGAGGCCGGATTTGGACTCAGGTCCTCCTGAATCCAGGGCCGGTGCTCTATCCACTGTACCACCTACCTGCCTCTGATTCTATTTCTTTAAAAGCTTTTTGATTTTATATAATCATGACAGTCCCGTGAATTTTATGACCTTCTATTCCATCTTAGGAATTTTCCCCCTATCCATAATTATGAAATATATAACCTTTCAATTTCCTAGGTTTTTAAAGATGGTATGATGTTTTATATTTAGATCTATTTGGAATTCATTGTGGCTTAAGACATTGATAAGACTTTTTTTTAAAATCAGATTGTTTTCTACTCTTCCTAACAATTCTTATCAAATGAGTCTCTTCCCCAATAGTTTATGTTCTTGAGTTTATCAAACACTAACATAATATGTGCATTGGTTTCTAGACCTTGCTTATCCTGTATTTTCTCCGAATTTACTTTTCTATTTTTAATCTAATATCAGATAGTCTTGATAATTACTGCTTTGTACTGTAGATGTAGATCTGGTAGTACCAAGCCACTTCTGTTTCTGCTTTTTATTCATTAAATCCCTTGATATTCTTGACCTTTTATTCCTCCAGATCAATATGTTATTGTCTAATTTTATATCCTTTTAGTAATTTGATTGTGATAGCCAATAGAACATAAACTCTTTGAGGGCAAGGACTTTCTCAACTGTAGCTGTGTATCCCTAACACTTAGCTCAGCGCCTGGTATATAATAGGCATGTGATAAGTGCTTGTCATTGGGTTTTTTTTTTTGGTGAATCATTATAGAATAATAAGCATAATTTTTTTTCTGTATTGGTGTGTTGTAGACGTGAGTACTGACTTTCCAGTTGCTTATGTCTCCTTTTATTTCTGCATTATATCATATTATAGTTGTATTTGTTTTGTCTGGACTTTAAGATTCATAATAATCTCTGGCTCCACCTGAAAATTGCCTGGATTGTTCTTAGAATCAGAAAAGTGCCTCAGAGGACATTTAGTCCAACCTCTAAGAATTCTCCCCTATGTAGTATTTCTGACAAGTGGTTGATGGTCTAGGCTCTCTGTTTTTTGAGACATTTGAGGGAGAAAAAAAAAACTCTTACAATCTAAGGCAGCCTATTCTACATTGGTAGCTCCAATTATTAAGAAAATATTCCTTATATCAAGCCTAAATTTGTCTTCCTCATGTCTTTTACCATCGTTAAGGTTCTGCCCTCCAGAACTAAACAAAATTAATTTGATTCTTCTTCCACATGACAACATTTCAAATGCTTAGAAGACTGCTATGTCCACTCTAAATCATCTCCAGATTAAACCTTCCCAGTTCTTCCAGCCAGTCTTGGTATGTCGGTCTCTATTTCTCCTCCTCATCTTTGCCCCACATTGGAATGCACTCTTAATTTGCCAGAGTGTTACAGTGGCACATGTAGTCCAGAGACAGACTGGTTGTAGAGTTCTAGAACATTATTGCTGTCAGAATTTGATGAAGGGGAAACCAGAATCCCTAACTTTTAGGGTCGTAGATTTAGAGATAGAATCAACCTGATAGATAATCTAGTTCTGCCACTTCATTTTAAAGGTGAGGAGACCAAGGGCTAGAGAGGAAAATTACTTGCCCAGGATCACCCAGGTTGTAAGTGGCAGAGCCAGGGTTAAAATTTTTGTCCTCTGATTCCAAAGATCACATGACCAGTTAATTGTGGAACCAAGACTAAAAGTCCTGTCTCCTGACTTCTAGGTCATAATGCTTTCCACTGTTGTGTACTGCCTCTCCTGATCAATATTTCTGCTCAGCAGCTTCCTTCAGTCTCTTGCTTCTCTTCACCAACTCCTTCGCTTTAAAAGTCTTGTGTCCTAAGATAATAATGCCTTCTGTGCCATCCTGCCTCTTCCCCTTTTTTTCTTTCCCCTTCAACAACTCAAATTTCCAGTAGCTTCCTCTTACCTCTAGGATTAAATACTATTGAAAAAAAAACTTAGTTTGGCATTTAAGGCCCTCTATAATCTTGTGTCTGTCTACCTTTCCAGTTTTATATCCTATCACTTCCCTCCCCAGAACTCTCCATTCCAGTCAGACTGGTCTGGTAGCTGTTTACTGTGTAGGACATTGTAATTCTCACCTATGTGTCTTGGCACCAGGTTCTCCCCATCCCACGCTTCTTCCCTTTGTAGAATCCCTCGCTTTCTTCAGAAACTTCCTTTTACAAAAACGCCTTTCCTGATCTCCCACTTGTTCTTCAGTTGTTTTTCAGTCCTGTCCAACTCTTTGTGACGTCATTTGGTGTTTTCTTGGCAAAGATACTGGAGTGGTTTGCCATTTCCTTTTCCATCTCATTTCACAGTTGAGGAAACTGAGGCAAACAAGGTTAAATGACTTGCCTGGGGTCACACAGCTGGTGTCTGAGACTAGATTTGAACTCAGGAAGACGAGTCTTCCTGACTGCCGGCCTGGTACTCTGTCTGCTGTGCCACCAAGCTGCTGTAGTTGTTAGTACTCTTTAATTTCATAGGATCATAGATTTGGAGTTAGAAAGGACATGAAAATTCAGGCCTCTTCAGCTTCAGTTACTTCATATTAATTTGCACTTCCTTTTGTACTTGTCACATCCGTACAGTAGAACGTAAGCGCTTTGAGGGCGAACATGTTTCCCTTGTGTCTTTATATTTCCAGCGCCTGCATATAGTACCTTGAATATTGTAGGGCACTTGACAGATGTTTCTTCAGTTGTATTGAACTGGGTGAAGAGAAGGACTGAGAACCCAAGATGAGGGGTTTGTCTTAAAGGAAAATATTTTTCTTTTAGAGTTCCACAAATATTTCCAAAAGTGAATTGAAAACTACTAAATATTACTTTAAAAACTAATTTAGATTTCCTATTTAAATATGTTTTAAATTTTAAAACTGTGGGAAATTGGAGGGTGCCATTTTGGCTTTTAGTATCTCTTAGTTTTAATATCCTCCTATAAGGGAAGATCAGAGATGTTTCTCTTAATGTTACCTGTATTAATCTACCAGGCAGTTGATCTCTTTTTCATGATTCTGCTTGCTTGCTTGCTTCCTTCCAATAAACAAAAAAAACCCAAAACCCAAACCCCTCAATTATGAGTAGTTCGAAACTTTAATCCTTTGCGTCAGGAGCCTTAGATATTCTTGCTGTCAGCCAGTTATTGGAAGGATTTTCCAACCCAGTGCCAGCAAATTAAGATCAAGATGTGTGGATCATAAACAGTGTCTCTGTCTATACATGGATACTTTAAAGAACTTTTCTTCTGGTGAAACTGACTTTTATTCAGTTCAGAATTATAACTCTAAGA